CATACCCATCGGCATTTGCAGTAAATGCTGCTTTAGTTGTCGCTCGATTCGTGTTACATGACAAAATACATGCACCGTCTCCAACAATAAATATCAAAACATCAAATGAAAAAATGGTCATAACTTTTGCCAAGCACACTCCGTGCAAAAATAAGGAGTCGTAATCTCCCGAACCAACAAGCATAATATCAATTATTGTGCGGAAACCAGTGAAAACTTCGAGTGCGTAAAACCCAAACACGATTTGACTCGAAACTATTGGCATAAAAATGCTTAGGATCAAGTGGTCACATCAAAATGATTGAGATGAATAAACCCGTGTAATTGGTTTCATCCCATTTGAAAAGGTTTTTACAACTTTTGAGATATTACGATTTGTGTTCTTTTCCTAATGTAATGCAATAGCTGAACATTCAAAAAGTATTAAAAATATAATAAAGCATCATTCGTTTGTGCAGCATTTCTTCGCAAGTATTGCCCGGTTGGGCTGACTACTGGCGAAAATACTACTTGCAAACTCTCACCAAAAACCATAATTGTATAGCTTCTATTGCAAGAGCTGAACCTCGAACCACATCAATGCAATGCAATGCCTGTCTTTTTCATACATTCCGTACCAACGATTGTTGCATTCCAACCTTTCTGCCAACTTTATCATTTCCATCAACACTTTTATGCCACATTGACATTTTTTCGCCTCAAAATTCACTTTACTATTTTTCCCTGTTTCCATATTTATTAATGAATTTTACGCTATTCAAACTCGCATTAATCGGCCTCTGCCAACGCTGGGCGAATTCATCGAGTTCGCCTTGACAACACGACAAAGTCGCACAGGAACAACACGACAAAGTCGCACAGAAACAACACGAAATCGTGTCTTTTCATGACGTGTCTTCTGATCGCGCAACAAGGCACCCCACGATCGAGCCCAGCTGTACCCTCGACATTCGGTAGATCCACGCCGTTGCCTCGCCCAATTGCCACGACGCGGAGCCGATAACGCAACGACACGTCACCAGACGAAGCCGGCAGGTGCGTTCGTGTCGGCAGCCTGGACTCCAGTGGCTTAAGCCCACGTGAGGCTGTTTCGACCAATCGGCTGAGCGCAGCCAAGTGTGCAGACGAGAACGAGAGCAACGGAGACGCGGGGCAAGAGAGAGAGAGAGAGAGAGAGAGAGAGAGAGAGGCTCGCAACCTAACCGGGCCAGACCCGTGGCCGTTTCAGTGATGTGTTATCGCGCAGCCGCACCGGCCATCGCCTCTACGCCTCACGGCCATTGGCTAATCTCCACTCCGGCCTTCCACCAATCACATTCCACCAGACTGAGGCTGTTGCGATTGGCTGCGCCTGTCTGCCAGCCTGCCCGTCTGTGCGGGTTGAGTGAGTGTGTTTGCGTGCCGCCCAATTGCGCACCCCATCCAGGCGACTGCATGTGTCCATGCTGGAATGTCTGGATGGATGCAAGGCAGAGCGACGATCGTGACGCTGCTGACGCGGCTGTGTTGGGAAAGAGGTGGGATTCACATTCCTTTTCTTATCGGAAAGAGTCTGATTTATGCTCGCCTATCATTTGCACATTTGGCCCGACAGCCGGTCGCCACCCCTTTTCTTTGGCCAAGCCACTTTCAGACTTGCTGGCATTATTTATGGGAGCGTTTGTGCATACCTTTATGTATGTATGCATGTGTGTGTGCATGTTTGTGTGTGTAGATAGAGAATTGCGTACTCGAACCCCCCTGTGGGCAGATAGACAGTTCCACGGGCAGGCGTGTATGTGTGTGTGTTGTGTGTGCATGAATTCGTCGACTCGATAAGTGGGCCGGGCTGGTGGTACAACCAGCCCGAACTGACCAATCAGATGCCACGTCCAGAGGGTGCGAAATAGGCGAGTGCTAGAAGTTGGCAGTGTCGTTGTGTGTTTGTGTGTTTGTGACGCGAGGAGGACAAGAGGTCGGGGAGCCTTCAAGGCAGTCCGACAGGCTCAACACCGACCGGACAGTGTCGCATGAAAAAACGTCAAATTCCTAAAATGAAAGGTGATGGTGTGCGTTAAGGAGATACCGCCCTCTTAGCGCCGCCTGGCATGTTTGAGCCGTCAAGCGTGTCGGATGTGAGGAAAATAAAAGGCAGCAAATGAATAAAAGAATCATTTATTAATATTAATTATTTGGCATTGTAGTAAGGAGGCAAATATAAACAATGACAAGACAATTATTTTGTAATCTTTGCTAATTAAATGACACATCCGACCTGTTAATCGTGCCAAGTATGATTGAAAAAACAAATCTCCTTAAATTGTTACGTCATTTATTTGGCGGAATAGGAGCAAAATGAGCAATTTCGCTGATATTGACTTTAAGAGCAGCTGGGTTTCGAAGATTTCATTCACAAGTCCCAATCAGCAAAACAATGTGTGAAATAGTTTAATGCATTTTCATAAAACTAAGCATGAGCATAGAAAAAATAATAAACTAAAATAATTTTATTTCCCCGCACACACAAAGACAAGCTGGTCCCAACGAGTGGACGTAAAGATTTCATTTTGCCTCTTAATAATGCAAAACTATAAAAAAATCATACAAACTGAGCATAATATCGTAAAAAATAGATGCGCCTCGTAGATAGTTACTGTATCTCAGGGCCAAATTGTACATTCAGCTTAGCTGACATAAACACTTGTGGAATATTGATAAATAATGAATGTGTTAGCATAAAAGTGGACATCGTTTACTTGGTACGTGGAAAAAGATGTCTAACTTTTAGTTTATCGCAAATATGAAGAGAAGCTGGTTTGACCTCGTTGACCTCCCTTGGTCTTGTTGTCATGGCGACCCAGTCCGAAGTCTTCTTCCAGCTCGGGACAATGGATTTGGTGCATTCTCAAACGTTTCGCCGGCATCATCATAGCTCCAAATACATGCAAAATTAACAAGATCTCTTTCAGATTAAAGTGGCACATGTGGCCTATGAATAATAGAAAACTAGGATACAGAGCATAACACCAAGGGAATATAAATGGTCAAACTATTATGCTATTTCTTTCATGGAGAAAGAGCAAAGAAATGAAGTTATAAAGGATGATTCGCTCTTATGCATTAAAAGAAATTGCGTTTCGAAGAAATCGCATTCAGCCTATCTATACGTTAAATATATGAAATAATGATATATGCTAAAAGTAGTATCATACCAACAGATATGGTCAATTTGCTTTGATTCACTTTTTCACATGATTGATGGAGAAATGAATTTTGTTGGCATTTAGATATTTTATTTCATCTTATGTATGAAGAAAAGTTGAGATCCAAGACA